AGGAAATCTTAAAGGAACTTGATTTGGCACAAAGAACCATAACAGAACAGGTAAATCTTTGACTGTAGAGTCAACTTCAATGGCTGTTTTTTCATTTGTAGTATGCTCTTTACATGTACCAAACAGTCATAGCATCTTTAACTTTTCCTGGTAGTTTAATTATGTAATATAGTTCTTAATGAGTGATATTTTATTTTGTGTCTCTCACTGAACTCTTAACTGCTTGTTAGAAATGCCTATCTCACTAAGAAGGCTGGATTACAGCATTTTATGTCATTGACTGTCCCAGGCTAAGGTGCAAGTGTTTCACTTGATGAACAGCATAAGATTAGAATATATAAAATCATTCTATGAGAGTTCTGAGTAGGTAAGCAACTATACTGGAAATAGAATAGAAATTTGAACATGGATAGAATGAGTTTGGTTCAACTACATGGTGATTAAACCAAGGTTTGCAGCATTTAAATTGGTTTCTAGATTGTCTAGCATGTAAGACACAGAAATTTTATTAAAAACAAATGTAAAGCTGTAAACTAAAGAAAAAAAATTGAAATGAAAGTATCAAAAAATCAAAATATGTAGTCTGAAGGTCACTGCAAAGTGAACAAAAGATTAACACATCTATAAATGATTTTGTCCATAATATTCTAATATCACAAAACTAAACAGTATGAATTGAATGTGGAGATCTTTCTGAGTTGGTTCTCAAATTGAAGTTTCCATTTCGGAATTGGATGAACTAGCTGATATAGATCAACTTTGACTAAAATCATCTGATTTTAGATGATCCAGGTTAATCTAACTACAGATTGGTAGATATAAACTGGAAGGTTGCTTTTCAGCCAGCTAACTTGACAAAAATGAACCAAAGTTGACTGATCTTTGATGGACATATGGTGAAAGTTGCTTATGACCAAGAACTAGGTAGAATCCCAACCAAATCCCAAAAAATAATGCATTTAAATAATGAAAAGGAAGGAACTCCAGTACATACAGCTTGGACATTTTTTCCAAATAAGATGAACTAAATAGTGGTTTTCTAGCAATTGGTAGTATGGTTCATGTTGTCGTATACATAGATAGAGACTAAAATATCTTTGCAGGTCATCTTATTCAATCAAAATTTAAGAGTATTGGCCATTTATATTGAGATGTATCTTTTGTGAATCATGACTTCTAGCATGCCCAAAGAAACCAAATTCAAAATATTCATTTTGGTGTATGGTGCTGCTGAATTAAATTGCAGTCCACATACTATTGGAAAGGGGTCTTTTTCTGCATATCACTGCAAAACTCCATGGATACTTCTATCGTACCTGCTTAAATAGGTATATGTATACTGTAGGTTTTCTTTAGAATTATCTTGCCACTATTGCTCCTTATCCTTGAGTGTAAACCTGAAACCTGAAATAAATAATATACTGAAGGATTAAGAGGTAAAGATATGACGTGATATCATAAATGAAACTTTGAGGTGGCTATTTGGTCAAAGCTTCATGAATATGAACAAGTGATGTTTAAGGAGCTTGGAAGTTGCTGATCTTAAACAAAAATCACCCACCAACTGATTAAGAAGCAAGTCATGGCAATCAGGCGTAAGGTTATCTTAGAAGGTATTAGTAAGCGCCCTTGGTCTGGGATCAATATATGCAACATGTAGAATAAAAGTAACAGACATTCAGTAAATAAAATAATAAGAATGTTTTTTGGAAATGAGTTCTTTGTTACAAGAAAAGAAAATCTTGCATACCTAAGGTGGAAAAAATCTCACTCAACTGTTACCCTTGGGTCAAAGACATCACTTGAAACCTAATGATGACATGATATCTGCTTCATTAGTTTATTATGTGTTGTAGGGTTTCCTTTGTTATTATTAATCATCAGTTTATGTATGCACTTGATTGTCAATAATGATTTCTTCTTACTGATATATAATTTTCAACAGAAAGAATTGATATCCACAAAGGAATTCGAAATGCAAGCTTCCATGAAGCAGACCCTTGATGCATTATGGTCTAAGAATCAGGATGCAGCACTTCTAGAGAAACAGGTTGAGGAGCTTAAGCAGAGGTTGCAAGAAGCCAAAACCCAAAATAAAGAGAAGGTTGGTCTTTTGCATCTTTTCCAAGTCAATATCAAGCGAATTCATAAAGAGTATAGATATTGATCTTCAAGTCTTTTGCCAGTCACATTGTACATGAGGCAATTCTTCTATTAAATTACACAGGAAAACAGCATAGTATATTTTGAGGATTCCGTGATAGAATTAGTTGTCCATATTTTTCTTTAATAATCTGGTATATGCTTCCTTCATCACTATTTTAGCACTCCGACATATATTAATCTTATAAACATAAAAGTTAACTAAAAATGGAAATTTTCTTAATATTAAATATGAAAAACTACCCTATGTCGAGGTGCTTCAATGAAGAAAAACTTATGAAGCACAACTCATTCATGGGCCCATGGAAAGTACTTATCGATGAGGATTTTTGTGCTGGGTGGCCCTATCGGGTTAGCAATACGGGACAAGTAGCCATGCCACCACTCCCATCTACGGGCAATGGACATGTGGCCATTCATGCGACAGGCACAATACAACATAGTTGATGTATGTCTCACACAGAATGTACCAGCACAGCCAAGCTCCCATGATATGGCAAAGAAAGCCTTGCTTTAAATTGCTTTTTACAAGGTACATAATGTAGAAATGTTCCACAAAATCCTATTTACTGTTGGTTTTTGTCCTCTGTTCAACTTGCCTTATTTCATTGAAGAACCAAGTGTAAGATCATTATTACAACTGGAAATCTGATAAGCTTTTGATCTGCTTACCATATCATCTTGATATTCCATGCATCATACTTGAGCATTCTGTATGTGCTTTGTTTGGAAATTGCAGGTTATAGAACAAAGCAAAAAACTTACACTTGTCAATGTGGAACTCCATGAGATGAGACTTAAACTGAGCAAAACTACTCAGATGGAAAGGAAAATTGCAGAGCTTGAGAATGCATTGCTGTTGGCCTACGCAACAAGCGGACAAGAGGTAAGTTTGATAGATCAAGTTCTATGTCTCATGATGGCCAGGAACACTAAACAATTGTCATTTAATGTTTCTGCAGGTTAAGAATGAAACCTCGCATGCTGAATTGAAGGATGCAATAGAGGTGTTTTCAAGAGATTGTGGACTGGACACTTCAACACTCTTAAAGAGAAAGATCAAGATAAGTGACAGGGTGCACCAGGACACAAGAACTACTGATGCAGATCCAAATGTGCATGATGACACAGAACCTTTGGTAGCTATGGCCTTGAAGTTCATCTTGGGAGTAGCCTTGGTATCAATGATCGTCGGCATTATTCTAGGGAAGCGATATTAGCATTGTTTGTAAAATTTTTTTTTGCTCTTTGTTGTATATAAGTTCATTTGTCTGACAATGGAAGCTTCGATTGATGAAGTAGCGGCACCGGCACGGCTCTTGAAGTTGGTTGGTTGGGGAACTTGATTCAAGAAATCATTCCCTGGATTTTGATTATTTTGTTACAAGTTTGTCTTGTGGTTGGGGGTAGATTTTGATTGACTTTGGGACAGGAATATATTTTTGTTACATTCCTGCCCTCCAGCAGCATGCAGTAGGGAACTGCATGCAACATGCCTTTTTGTGTATTTGAGCTTGTAGATTGTTTCTTGTAAACAAGCAATTGTTTTTCTACAATACCTTGTGCTATTTGTCTATTCTGAAAAGTGATATTTCAATGATTCAAGCAACAACGTCTAACATTGTTGCAGTTGGTCAATGCAACTTCTTGGGCAGTAGTGCCCTTCTTTAATCTTTAAAGCATAAAGACAACAACAACACAAATGCCATGGGAGATGAGAACCTATTCATGAATGCTTAATCGATGTATTGTAAGATGTAAAGTTGTTTTATCTTCCTCTATTATCCTAAACATTGGACATGGAAACAAATGCTCACAAAACATGAAGGCAAACAGAGAGTAATGATGAACTGAAACAAAGAGAAGAAACAGAGAGAGAGAGAGAGACAGAGAGATGCAAACATGTGAGAAATCTAAATCTAAACGGAGATTGACCAACTCGTGCCTTTGTTGAGATTTCTCTGTATCAAAGTGGAGTAGCTTCATTTAATAAATTTAAAATAAAAATAAATATTTTTTTTAATAAAAAATATAAATTTATCATGTAAACTGCATCAGCACAAAGGGAACTCATCAATAGCACCAAAAATGATTCAATGGGCCACTCCCCTCTAAAAAAGAAAGTAAAGGAAGATCTAATTAATCTTGCATATAGCAACAACAGCTCCCAAAAACACAAAAACAAAAAAGAAACCAATCGAGGGCAGCTCTAAAATATATTTTTCTCATTTGTCATGATAATAGATATACCTAATTAACATATTTTTGATACTTGAATTGATTATGATTAACCGTCCAAAGTCTCCATCGACCGGCAATGGTGACCCTATCAAACACGAAATGAAAAAGTACAAAAGAAGTAAAGTATTTGGGCTCGGAGTGATCAATCTCTGTCGTGTTGATTGGTGGAATGGTCATTGACACAGTTGGCCTTTGCTCCGCGTGGCTCCAACGTCAGCATATTGAGGTCAACCATTGTAGATACTGAGACAAAGCCTTCCTCAAGAGAACCACAACTTTCCCCGTTTAATAGACATAGCTGTAGCACAATGCCAAAACACTTGCATGTGTCCGTGACAAAGAAAACGCATGGCTGTCAAAAGGTTATGTGAGCTTTGCATCTTCCTTCTTATTTGCTCATACAGAGCGAGCTTACAGGAGGATAAAGGGTCGGATCCAAGTTTTATTTGATCCTGGCATGGTCCCCAGGTGGATCCGAATCCGAATCCGAATCCGTCCCCAATACAATCGAGATGCTGGCTGACGCCCGGAACTCGTTCGACGAAATGCCTGAAAGAAGACGCTCTCTCGAATTCAGCAAACTCTCGAGAGATCAATAATCAAAAGTGACCAGCAATTTTCTATCCATCCACTGCAATTTTTTTTTGGAATTATGTTGGATAATGTGAGGCCAACAACATATTACGTATCTATTCTATTCGTTGATCAAAGGACTGGACAAATCCCACAACCAATAAATCGAATAAGCAATGTCACACGGTAACATTCCAAGACATAATACTACTGCTACTCCACACAGAGCTGGCAATAACAATATCTGCATCCATCTAAATCTCCTCCGTCTCCTTTCCTCAGAAGCACATGTCCAGAACGCAGCAGCAACACAAAGCCGCGCAGCTGCAACACCCAAAAGAGCAGAAACCAAACTAACTACGAAGAACAACAGCAGAAGAATAAGTTACTATGAACTCAAGGAAAGAGCGTCTCTTCTCACCATCCCCTCCAGAAGCCATCGCCACGGCTCTTGGTCTCGATGGGAACTTGCTGTGGATTCACAGCACCGTCCCTGCTCGGATAGCCCGCCGGCGGATAGGCCTGCCCTGTGGAAGGGTGGGAGCTGGGCGGTGGGGGGTACGCTGCATGTTTATTGTAGGCATAAGGCTCGACAAATCGATCCACCGTGATCTATGCACGGAAAGAGGAGAACACATACCTTGAGGAGGAGCCAGCTGCTGCTGCTGGGGGTAGTAACTCATCTTGAAGGCAATGTTAGGATAAGAGTGAAGACGACGGGACGGGAATCGTAAGCACTTATAGTGACAGCGGGAGGCTCTTCCTCACGTTAAAAGGCCAGCATGTCCCTGTCGTGACGCGTGGATACAGAAAACGGGGCGTGCACGCAAGCGTCGACCATTGACGTCGAAGCAGGTGTCGAAGAACCGCGGAGTCTCCGTGTTCGACCTGCTCTGGAGCCTGCGTTGCGCATCACTCAACTGCTCCATTATCAACAAATGGCATCAGCAGCGGAAGGCATGTCCTGCACGTTGACATCCTCGTGTGTCAGCAGCTGTTGTGGCTGCTTGTCATGTTCTTCGGAAGCATCGTGGCGGACAAACACGGTGGAAGAACCTTCACATGTCTTTCTCCAACAGGAATCGTGGAGAAAGAAAACTGCAGTGTATGATGGCCAAGAGAAACCAAGAACCAGAGCTCACTCACTCTCTTCTTCAAAAATAGCTTTCCCCTGTTGCATACATGGTCGATGCAACGATTCACTGAGAAGTGGGTAGAAGAAGAATCCTGATTCGTTTCTTCAGAGTTGACTTGTGGATTTGGGTCCTGTTTTCAAATCCAGCATACGAAGCTTACAATTCATTTGAAGGTCATCTTCTAATGTGCATCTTCCAAAAGATGGGAGGGAGACAAATGAATTAGGAGGGTGCAGGCATACCTGAGGAAGACGAAGAGGAGGAGGACTCATCTTAATTTTATATATATATATATATATATATATATATATATATATACAATTTGAAGCTTTGCAAGTTTGTAAATCTGAAACTAGAGATTAAGGTGTTTACCTCCAACTCAAGTTCCGGAAGCCAAATCTCTCTTCCTTGCTTTCGTTCCACCAATCCTGTGGATGATATTATTATTATAATATGATCAACTGGAGTGATAGTCTTCATTTTAATTTAAACTTAATCTTCAAATTATGTATGTAGGTATGTATGTATGTAAGATTCTTGAAATAAGACACCTATTTATCATAATACTTGAAATATCTTTAACAAGACATTTGGAGTGAGTAGTAAGTACCGGGTTATAAAATTTATAGTATCAATCAATTATTGTAATTTTTAATAATTTTGTGGTATTCTTTATATCTCCACCAAAATATTGTAAGTTTATTTAAAAGCATAAGCAAATTTCGACACAAATCATAAAGAATAGGAATAAATATTTGAATGTTATTTATAGTTAAAAAAAAAAGATTTTGCATAGATATATGCCTAAAAATAAGAATAACCAAATATGAAGATTTTTTATGTTAGGTATAATATTTTTTAAAATACTATAAATTTATGAAGAAATTGGATTTATTCACCCTATGCATCGATCTAAATCCCATCAAAATTGATAAAAAAAAAAGCTGCTTCTATGTCTCTTTAGAGATATTTTAAAATATAAGGTTAAAGGACCCGATTTAAAAATATGAAAATGATAGATAGGATCACCTCTTGGGACAAGTAAAATAAATTAAATTAAATTAAATTCATGAAATTTGCCCATTTATATTACTGATGGTAAGTGAATGACGTCGTTTTAATTTGGTTAATGAATAGAGAAAGGAGATATCAGTACCTCATGAAAGCCTCCGTAAATCTCCAGTAGAGTCACCTTCTACTAGAGAACCAACCTCATGCACCATCGGCACCATCATTGGTCCGTCGTCCTCAGTGTAGCCGAAGACGAGGAAAGTGATTTCTATGAACACTTCATGACCGAGAAATTAATAATTTAAAATATAATAAAATTATTTTTGTGTTCTTTTTATAGGTGATAACATATGACTTTTTTCATCGATAAAATTAATAAGAAGATAAATGAAGTTAAATGTTTCACTTTGATAAGTGTAAGAATCTCAATGTTACTTTTTAAAATATACACTTTTTAAAGTATAAAATTCATAAAGGTAAGGATCTCAATACTACTTTTTAAATTATAGAAACAAGAATATTAATCATAATTAATTATAAAAAAAATAATATTAATTATCCACATGATCCACAAAGTTGAACTTTTTTTTTCTTTTAGTATTAGGAGAGTTTTGGCTGTCTCTACTGCTATAAATTTGACCCAATTATAAAACTTCAAATACTGTACTCATCCATTAAAGTATTCTCATCGTGTTAATATGAATAAAGTATTCTCATCATGTTAATATGAAAATGATTGCAAAAATAAAATAAATGAAGAAGAAAGGAGAGATATTGTAATTAAACATTATGGTTGTGTCAACAATTTGTGCGGGCCAAGTTGGAAGTATGTTTCTCAACTTTCTAATTTAAAATAGATTATTTAGAATGTAGATAATTTAGGTAATTGATATGAGCATAATGACACATGAAAGACTATTGATACCATATGGTTAATATCTCATATCATATGATCAATATCTTAACACCATGTGATCGATATCTTTGCACCGCATGATTGATATCTCAACATCACGTAATCGACACCTCATTGTTACGTGATCGGTACTTTAACATCATATGATTAGTTAGCCGATATCTCAGCATCACATGGTTGATATCTCGCTATCACATGACCGATACCCTTTCTCTGTGTGGCTAACATGACTTCACTCTCCGACGAATGCTATGACCTCATTCACAACCGTGTCATATTCTTCGGATTCAATGTAATATGATGACACCCAACATCGAAAGAGATGTGTAATGCTCCCCAGTTTTAAACCATGACTATGAGTATAATTTTTCTAAATCTCACTATAAAAATACCCCTCCTGTACATTCTCCGAATAGACTCATTTTTAGTTCATTCAACTCTTATGGACTCGATATTCAATCGACACCATTAACTCAAAAACTAACTTAAATTTCGAATAGGTTTTATCACCCTCGACACAGTTTTGCAAGGTTCAATGCGGTTTCGAACTTGATAGTCTCAAAATCTTTTTGGCTTGATATCACCCTACATTAAGACGGATGTGGAGTAAGACTTTGTTGTCTTCGAGTCGATATCTTACTCAGATGATCAAATTTTGTTTTAACAGACTGACGCTAGAAAGAGGGCCTCTCCCAACGGGTCTTAGAAAAACATTAGAGGATCCAACTATCTTCGGTCCCACTTTCAAATCTATTGGAAACCTCACCTTCCTAGTTTCTAAACCCATTGCCTCCTGTTGATTGTTCCACGATGCAACAGCCGACCATCATCGTTGACTCCATAACCTAGCCCAATAAATTCGAGCTGTGGCAAGGGTTGTTCAAACTTTCATTTCTTTCCTCCCCCAACTTACCTAGTTGGTATAGCAAAGATTTACACTTTTGACCACACCCCCTATTCCTCTGTCAGCATATCAACATTGTAACTGAGTCATGCCCCCTTTCGATAGAAACTTCTCGGGAAGTATAGTCGTAGCATAAGAAACTAAAACGAAAAGGAGTTAGACATTCACTCTATAGAACTTCCTTTAGAAATCCACAAATCTTTTAGATAGATTAATGTCCAGAACACACATGGAAAGAGATCAAGCATGACAAACAAAAAGTCAAAACCTTCCCACATTTAAGAAAAGTCAATTCCATTAGGATTCCACCTTCTCTTCATACATATGATTGGGAATTTATCCCCATCCAAATGACCCTCTATCATACTATTGATGCTATAATGTGTTAGACTTTTTCGATCATTCTCCGAGGGAAATATTTCTTCAAGTGGGCAGTCAAACCAAGAATAACTTGGATGGAGGATATTTTCATCATACAAGAAATATTTCTTCAAAATCAATATCTTTCTTCTGACTGAATCATTTCACAACTAGTCATGCTTTGTATCTTTGTTGTGAGCTATTATTTTCAATCTTCAATTTGTAAACTCATTTATTTTTTATAGCTTTCTTCCCTTTATGCAACTTTACTAAGTCCAATCCAAGATCCGAACTAACATTTGAGGACACTGAGTAATATTCAAGACATAATTTACATCCACAAAACCTGTACAATTTATAATCATACATCATATCACTTAATAATCCACATTTACGAAAACCCAAGCTAACTTAATAAAAAAATATTAATCACACTTATAAATTCACCCGTGTGAGAATCAATACAATCATAAAACTGATCATTTACCACAAGTTCATATGATTATAAACTAAACTTAACATTCCAAAATTCTAAATGAGAAAGGTCTTTAAAAATTTTTACATGATATATCAATTCAAATCTATTGACAATATTTCATTTTATATAAAATGCACTTATACAACAACAGCATAACAACTCATAAAGAATTGCTCACAATCCAAATAGTTTTTCACTACCTCAGCTTAGTTCTAACATTTCAGTGAGTGACAAGCTAACACGAAAAATTTATATAACAATGGAGTGAGCTACAAAGCTCAACAAGTAATAAACATATCAATGACAAGGGAAGATAGTTTTAAACAAACTTAGTATCAAAATGCAAGATAGAGATATAAGAGTTTATAGATATCATCTTATTAGATATAAAATCATAAATATCATTTCATTAAAACATATTTGGTTTATAACAAATGGAGTAAATAGTAATTAGAGTATATCAATGACGTAAGAGGCATTTTGGGGTATATCAATAGCGTGTAAAATATTTCAGAGTATATCAATGGCCTATGAAATATTTTGGAGTATATCAATGACATATAAAATGTTTTGGAGCATATCAACGACATATGAAACATTTCAAAGCATATCAATGGCGTATGAAATGTTTCGAAGTATACTAATGGCGTATGAAACATTTCAAAACATATTAATGACATATAAAATATTTCAAAGCATATCAATAGGCATAGTCACCTGCTCTCTCCTCTTCTTTCTTCCTTTTCTTCTTTCCCAAT